TCGCCAAGAAAATACGGCCATAAGCAATAAGATCTGCACGGCCCTCGGCCACAGCACTGTTTCCATCTTCCCTGTCATAACCACCAGCAGCAATGAAGGTACCATGGAAAGACTTTCTCATGGGAAGAAGACTCTGGTGGGTTTCAGCTTTTTCTCCAACTGTCTTCATCCTCGGCTCAACCATGTGGCAGTACACGATTCCATATTTGTTCAAGGCATTGGCCATATAGAGGCCTAATTCTTTTGGATTTGAATCCCCTGAGTCCATATAGTCAGCAAATGGAGATAATCTAATTCCAACTTTATCTGCTCCTATTTCGTTAGCAACAGCTTCAACAACTTCCAGAGGCAGGCGGCAACGATTCTCTAGAGACCCACCATATTGGTCTGTTCGATCATTCACATGATCTTTCAGAAACTGATCTAGAAGGTAGCCATGCGCCCCATGAATTTCAACTCCATCGAAGCCTATATAGCAAATTAACAATTTCAACATACTGACGGTATTAGAACCTTAAGCACTGTCGCTGAATTACCAAACAAATAATGGTTAGTTAATATGTAGTTCAATATCAAGATGTGAGGGGGCTTGCAGCTCGCCCAGGCCAGAGTTTGAAGAATCCCCATCCCATCTCTAACTACATTTCTCTGATCAAACACAATTTATTTTGCACAAGCTTTGAAGCAAATTGAGTTGTTGTAAATTTTGTTTCATTTTAACGTAAAGACAAATTACCAGCTTCAATAGAATTCCTTGCAGCAAGTCTAAAATCATTGACAATTTGTGGAATTTCATCTGTCCTTAATCGTCTTGGAGGCGTGAATTCAGAATCATCAATGCCATTTAATCGTATCGGCTTGTCAGTAGAAGATATTGGAGCTTGCCCATTTGGTTGATAACCTGTAAGCAAGGAGAGAGAATTACAAACTGAAGTCTAACGACAGTAACAAACATCCACAGTAGCACTCTTTTAAGTGGGAATCCTTTGTTACAAATTACTATAAAATCGCTTGGTCTGATGAACCACACGTGCTATATATACTAGTTCTGAATTCTGAGTTATGTTAACATCAAACTTCGTCCCATCCAATAATAATAATAACAATGCTTCCGAAATAGCAAGGTCATAAAAGTGGTGCCTTCTTATGGGTTATGTTAAAAACACCAACTCGGAACTTAACAAGTCCAAGTTTTATCGTCATTTGAGCAACAATGTTGTCAATTACAATCACTCGCTCCTTCTGATGCATACACCATTATGTTATACATCGAACTTCTTAATCGGTCTAATTATTCACTCATGTTAACAAAGCATTCTATGGTAAAAGTGAGGTCATAAAGGTTAAGTCAGAAACACACCGCTATTAGAAACCCTTCCAACATGCCAAATCTGACAGAAGAAGACGCCACCTTTAGCATGAACAGCATCAACAATGGGTTTCCAGGCTTCAACTTGCTCCTTTGTCCATATACCAGGTGTGTGCGGGTACCTTCGTATATTAAAGAAACAAAGATTTCATCAAACTTTGAAACGAAAGAAGCACCCTCAAATGTTTGTTAGTCTATAAATCTACTGTTGTTGAAATTACCCTTGAGCTGTGTCGGAAACTCCAGTGGCTTCGGCTATGAGAAGACCCCCGTTCGATGCTCTCTGAGAGTAATATAAGATAGCATGTGGTTGAGGAACATTGTTGTATGATCTCTGTCTGGTCAATGGTGCTAAAACAATTCTGGAAAGGAAAAAGAAATTGTAAATTATAAATACAGAGTGAACAAGACGGAATGTGGCTGAGGAACATTATCGAATGATCTGTATCTAGTCGTCAACGGTGAAAATACAATTCTAAAGAGGAAAAACATATAATAAACCATAAATACAACCTTCAGACTTTGTAGGAAGCCTTAGTTTGCTAAGGCTCCTTGATAACAAATTCGATTTTAGTTTTCTTGTTTTAGTTAAAAAAGAGAAACGAGGGAGGAAGAAGGAATTTGGGACGAAAAAGTGTGAAATAAAAACTTGAATCGTAGACTATCTGAATTTGCTTTATGTTCTTCATTTTTTATATCATTCCATGCACGTTTTGTCCCTCATCCATCCCTTCCCCCTTTCTCCTCCTCCTCCTCCTCTTCTATCATGCATTTTCTCTATCTTTCACTTAAAATTAAAAACTAAAAATCAAATACGAAATCGTTACCAAACATAACCTAAACAAAGCAATGTCTTACGAAGTGACCATGGCCGAAAGGACACTTAATTTGTAACGATCAGTTACATCTATTTTCAAGGATTAATCAATGAAATAACTCAAATGTACTATTGTTTTCCTTTAATTTGTAACATTTGTACTATTTTATAGACGAAGATACAGTTATAAAGACACTTCTTGTCTCCTTCCCAACATCTGTACTATTTTATACCAACAGAATACTTTCCGGATTCTTTTGGTGAAGATTTTGAAGATCTGTTCATCGTAAATCGTACGGTCAGTTTTTGTCAAATACTGATTGTATTTAATTTTAAATAAAAATATTTAAAATAATTTCTAACTCACCATGTACGATGAACGGACAAGATTTACAGATCCGAGATCCTCACAAAGAGGATCCGGATTCTATTTTATAGACAAAGATACAGTTACAAACACTCCTTGTCTCCTTCCCCAAATCATTCTTCTTTTTTGTATAGCTATATTTGACACACACACATGAATAAACTACACAGTACGCTAAACTTGAATATAGACAAGCAGTAATTTCATCTTCTATTTTTCTTGTTAGCCAATAGCCATCTGCAGACCTAGCTACTCTCCGAATCCAAGTTCGGATCTCCTCTCATAGTTTTTTACAACATTATTAAAATAACGCCCGAATCAATTAAATTAAACAATTACACGACAGAGAAATTTAAAATAGTAAACAAATAGGAACAATGTACGAAAGTTTTAAGTACCTATGAGAAAGATTGAAGTTTCCCAATTTGTGGGGAGTGAGGAGAGGAATTGTGGGAGGTTGAGCAGCAGCAGACATCTCAGAATTCGAGTCGGTCGTCTGCCACCTGATCTTGCACTTGGCCTTTTGTACTGGATTCTGGGATGAAGGAAGGAAGGAAGGAAGGAATGAATGAATACAGGACCCAATTGGGTCTTTATACGTTCAGTAGGAGCTTAAAAGTCCGCCCTGCAGCTTTCCTCCACAAAAGTCAGAGAAGGCTGGGTCCCACATCTCCCCTCCCTTGTGTGGAGGTGGCGGCGGCGGGCGTCGGTGGGTGGATGATGGATCTCTCCAAAGCATTAATTAAACCGATTAGGTGAAGAGAGGTAGGAAGGTTTGATGAGGTCTGCAATTACGTTTGCGTGGGATGAAAATTCACCAGTTTTCCCCATGAAAAAGGACGTCCACGGAATGCGTGTGTAATGCTGGCCGCATGTCCATTTCGATTTTGCTTTTTCATCCTGCATTATTAGGCCACGGTTTGAATAGTATATTGTTTAGGTCCTTAAGGCCCTTCCCAACCAGAAGGATTAAAACATAACTCCGTCTAAAATTGTAATTTTGTAAAAAAAAAAAAAAAAATTTATATTAACAGTGTTAGATGATTTTCATATATTATCCTTAACCAAATGAGCTAAACATAACTCCATCAATTTCCAATGGATAGCTAGGCTATAATTCCATCGAGTTCACCAAGTCATCATTTGACTAAATGGTCATTAGGCTGGATAAATGTAGCCCCCTTCTTAACCATTTTTTGGGGCCCAACTCCTCTACTGCACTATTTGAGTCAAATTCAACAACTATGTTTGAAAACACCCAACAGAAATATAATTTAAATTAACCAATAAATTTAATACATAAACTTAAAACTAAATAATTATTGAGAGGGTTATGTTTAGCTACTTCGGTGACGGTATATAAGTATAGCCCGATACTATTTAATCATTTCGGTTGAAGATTGCCTAAGGTCATAATTTTGAGGATGTGTGAGACTAAATGCATATTAGTTACAAAATAGTTACAAAATTATATTAGTTTAGATCGCTTGAAATATTTGGCAACTTAATAAAGAAAAACCAACTTAAAATCCCTGAAAACTCATTTTCTTTTTTGTTTTATTAATTGTCAAATATTTAAGCTTCTAGATACAAACTAATATAATATTATGGCTAAAAAGAAATAAAAGGCTCCAATCAAGTAGCATTGCACGATTACAATGGAAAATGACAAAGTTGCTAGCTTTGTGCAAAAAATATATTATGCAGGTTCCCTAACAAGTGCTTTTAACACAATGGGCATACTCTCTTTCGTGTAAAACTTTCTCGAGAAATAAAGTTAAGATTTATTCAGATTGTTACATGAAAGAATTTTTTTTTTTTTTCAGATCACTATTTTTCTATAATCGTAATTTTTTGGGAATATAGATTCATTTTGAGGATGAATTACGTTTTTTTTATGAGGGTGTATTCAATTGGGATTTAAAATTTTTTTTTTAATGAAACTATGGGTATTCAATCAGGAATTTAAGTGATTCTCTAAAATTCAAAGTGTATTCAATTAGAATTTTAAGATAGTTTATTAAAATCCTTAGAAATCCGGGTGTATTCAATTAGGATTTTAAAAAAGTTTATAATATTTCAGGTGTATTCAATTAGAAATTGATTTTAAAGAATTGGAGAAGGATGAGGAATTTGAGGGAATTTGAGATATTTTATAGTGTATTTTAAGCATCCACAAATCTCATCTCTTCCCATGAGATTTCGAGGAAATTGAATAAAAATTTATATGGAATCTCTACAAATCAATTAAACTCCATAAAAATCCAAGGATTTATAAATCCATTAAAATTTCTCAAATTCTCAATTGAATATAGTGACAGGTTTCAATTGAAAAATATGTTATGCAGAAACTTACGAATCAAAGATATATCGGAAAGCCAGATGAACAAATGTACAGTCAAACGTCTAGAGATTAATTATACTGTTAATTTCCAATAATCACAATATAAGATCATCACAAACTATCTTTACTAAACTCATTGGCATGGCATGCAATCAGTTAGCATGTTCAAGTAACCACAAGCTACAATACTACACTTGAACTTGATACAGATTGAACAATGCAGAAACTTATCATACAAATGAGAACTTTACAATGTCGTCAGCCAACTTCTGCCCCTCGATTTGTTATTTTCTCTAGTTATCCAAACCGTGCAAGAAAAGCAACAGAAAACATGTACGCAGAATAATGCGAGAATTTCAGAAAGATAAGAGTGTATAAGCTTCCATATGCTGCACGAATCCTATGCAGTGGTGTCAAGGAACGGATAATCAGTGTAGCCAATAACCGGTTCAGACACGTAGAAAGTGTTTCTGTTGTACTTGTTCAGAGGAGCATTAAGCTCAAACCTCTTCGGCAAGTCTGGGTTAGCCAAGAACCAACGACCATAAGCAATAAGATCTGCACGGCCCTCAGCCACAGCATTGTTCCCATCTTCCCTGTCATAACCACCAGCAGCAATGAAGGTACCATTAAAAGCCTTTCTCATGGGTACAAGACTGTGGGGGCAATCACATTTTTCTCCAACTGTCTTCATCCTAGGCTCAACCATATGGCAGTACAGGATCCCATATTTGTTCAACGAATTGGCCAGATAAAGGCCCAACGCTTTCGGATCTGAATCCCCTGATTCCATATAGCTGGCAAATGGAGATAATCTAATTCCAACTTTATCCGCTCCTATCTCATTAACAACAGCTTCAACGACTTCCAGAGCAAATCGACAACGATTCTCCAATGATCCCCCATATTGGTCTGTTCGATCATTCACTTGATCTTTTAGAAACTGATCAATAAGGTATCCATGGGCCCCATGAATTTCTACTCCATCAAAGCCTGTATATCAGACAAACCATTTCAGTGCACCAAATATTATTTGTAATCTAGCATGAACTATTGTCACACATCTAGTTAAACTGCAATTAACGTCTTTAACTACATTTGTAAGATTAGAGATGGTTTGTTTGCTTCTGTTGAAAGTAATTTTCAGTTCTCGCTAATTTTATTTCGTACTTAAGTAAAGACAAATTACCAGCTTCTATAGCATTCCTTGCAGCAAGTCTAAAATCATTGACTATTTGTGGGACTTCATCTGTCCTTAATCGCCTTGGAGGAGAAAAATCAGCAACATCAATGCCATTGGATCGTATTTGGGGGGTTAGTGGCTTGTCAGTAGAAGAGATTGGAGCTTGCCCATTTGGCTGAAACCCTGTAAGAAAATATTGATAGAATCACAATCCGAAAGATTTCTATTACAGGAATATCAAGGCAGCTTTATGATGCTTCAATGGCCTAACTTTTCACTTCTGATCCAAAAGCTTTCAATGACACAAAGTGAAGTCATAAAAGCGTATGTTAGAAACGCACCGGTATTTGAAACCCTCCCCACATGCCAAATCTGACAGAAGAAGATGCCACCTTTAGCATGAACAGCATCAACAATGGGTTTCCATGCTTCAACTTGCTCCTTTGTCCATATACCAGGAGTATCTGGGTACCTTCGCATATTAAAAAAACAAAATTTTATCAAACTTTGAAATGAAGAAAGTACACATCTAAATGTATGTTTTCCATCTAAAATTTCACATAAAAGAAACTTGAAAAAAAGCTAATGTTTGTGAAGTTACCCTTGAGCTGTGTCAGAAACTCCAGTGGCTTCAGCTATGAGAAGACCCCCCTTAGATGTTCTCTGTGAGTAATATAAGATGGCATGCGGCTGAGGAACATTTCCGTATGATCGCTGTCTAGTCAATGGTGCTAATACAACTCTGCAGAAGGCAAGGAAGAAGTATATCATCAGAATACACCTACTACATGGCCTATGACATGTATGATATCATCAGATCTTGCTAAACAGAACAAGATTTAAGTAATACGACCAAAAATCCAGAAAGGAGATATACTTTCCGTAGCCAATTGCATTGAATACCAAAGATGAATTAAGTAATTTCCGGTCAAGATCAAGTACTAACTCAGGAGTGATGAGTGGTTCAGAGTTCACAACCCATGATGTACCATTTAGGTCTTGGGAAACGATATCAAATTGTATGTCAGTCAGTTCTAGGGATCATTTATGCATATATTTGGTTTCAAGGTCTGGGGCTTACAGAAAATTTCAGTAACATCTATCCTAATTTATTTTCTTTAAGAATTGACTACTTTAGTTGCTAAGATATAGTCACAACTTCAAAGATTCAACGGGTGTATACTGCACAAGTGCGTCTAGGAATTCGACAATCAAACAATCTTGAACAAAAGCAAGTAATTCATGGCCAACATCAAGACAAACTGACCCAAAAGTTGCAGCACATTATCTGTTGCAACTCAAACTCGCAAACAAAACCAGGGTTATCCAACCAATCAAACTAAACCAATTCCAAGCTTTACAATTCTACAAGTAATGTGAACATCCAAATGTTAAATAACAAGCCATCCTATCAAAGTTAATGCTTTTAATTCTGAAAATTCAGGATTCTTGCGTAGGCAAGCACAAAAACTGCCCAGTAACCTGCAACTTTGCCCAAAAACTAAGCAGTAATTTCATTTTTCTTGTAAGAAAACCGGGATTTTCTGCAACCCTGTTTCCAAATGAACAGAACCCAACAGCCCAAATCTCAACTGCTCAAGCAGAATAAGTCTACGAAATCAATGCAGAATGTAGAAGAATATAATCGTAGAAAAGATTGAGCGAGTGAGTTAAGTTACCTATGAGAAAGATTGAACTTTCCAAATTTGTAAGGAGAAAGGAGAGGGATTGCGGGACCAGCTCCTTGAGCTTGATTAGTGGTAGCCATTTCAATTCAACTGGGTTCAGAGCTCGACCCTGAGTTTTGTGTTTGGTTTTTTATTTGATCTGCTCTCACGTTGGGTATTTATGCGTTTCGGGAGAGGCGGAAGAGGGCTAGCACAGTGGGATGACTGACTGGCTGACTCCATCTGGGTCCACGTCGCCTTCTCCTCCACCTTCCCCTTCCCCTTAAAATGGGGCAGATGCAGATTTTCAGTGGTTGGCCGGGCGGCTCCGTTTTCAAATCCGTTTTTTTTTTTTATTTCTGATTGATACCTTTGACGACGTTTGCAATTACGTAATCGTCTTTCTTTTTTTTTTCTTTTCTTTTTAATATAAAAGGTGTCGTATCTTATGTGTGACAAACAAGTTTTCTTCTTCCTCCGATAGTTTCGATATCAAATGAAAAGATAACATGTTTTTGGCTTCTACGTTCATGGAAAATGCTCAGAAAACTGTCAAAACTGAGACTTTCTATGTACTTTTTCTCACATCATTTTTTTTTAATAATAATTTATAGTATTAGTATGAAAATTAAGTAAAACTGCAATGTGTCAAAATACTCAAGAATTTTGATTTAAAAGAATCTCCTTAACATTTATCTTACATTAAATAATTTGCCAAAACTGAAGAATGAGGATCTTTTTCGGACATTCTTTGTGAGGATCCTGAGAGTCTTCAGATCGTGTCTATTCATCGTACATCGTGCGTTCAGAAATTATTTTAAATATTTTTATTTAAAATTAAATATGAATAATAATTGATGAAAATTAACCGTATAATATCAATAAATGAACACGATTTAATGATTCGTAAGATTCTTCCAAAGAGAATCCAAAAGAGGATCCTCGTTCAAAACTGAATCGATTGACAAACTCAAGAATAGCATTATTATGAAGTCGTCATGCGGACACCACCAATGACCGCCTACAATATGGACTTTCTTTTATGAGTATTTTACTTTTGAACAAATAATTGCATCCATGCTTTTTAGTTCAATTTTTTATTTTTTGACTCAAAACCTTTCCTTTGACTCTTCATCTGCAATGGGATCTCATTCGTCACTTATTACCAAGGGCCAGCTTCACTTTTGCTAGAGTAAATGATTTCGAGGGGTTGGATTGGGGAAGAGTAATGGTTATTTATCATAATCGTTTATGTTTTCATTCGCGTAATTAGATTTGGTATTCGTATCGTGTTTTTCGTGTTTATGTCGTTTTCGTGTCATACATGATAGTTTAATAGATCGTGTCGTGTAAAACCTGTTAAAATAAACGGGAAAATATGGCCTGACCTAAAATCGATCCGTTAATATTATCAGGTAATATGACCCGACCCATTACCCGTTAAGAAAATATATTTAAATCAAAAATAATGAAAATGAAAAACAAAAAAATGTAAAACATAATACTAAATTAGTATATACATACCACATTGTCACATAAATATTCGTTCAAAACATAAAAAATAAAAAAATAAAAAAACATTTGTCTTTCAAGTTTACATACCCCAAAATAAGAGTCTAATGAAAAAACATTAATGCATACTACAAAATAAAAATATTCAAAGATATGCAAAATGAAGAGAGTTGTCTTTCAAAGTTGAGCAACATTCACGTTTTTTTACAATAAAACCCTTCAATTTTCATTAATGATTAAGGGAAATGGTATTAAAACTTTGACTTGATATATTACCTTCAAATGTTCTATCAACGATGCTTTCACTAAGGTTTTTTATGTATACAAAATACGACAGCTTCTCTTTGTAACATCATCTTACTTTTTCAACCATTTATTACAAAAGCAAATATATAATTTGGTATATGTAACGCAACAACCTGATGTCACACCTTACCTTGTGTGAGCTATCAGCACATGACCAAATTGTATTTTATTTACACCAAAGTCTTGTGCCAATCAAACTGGCACACCACAAGAACCTGGTTTTGTTCGTCACATATCACAATTGAAACATAAATGTATATTTGATTAAATAAAATAAAATAAAGAAAGATGCATAATTCAAACATTTGGGCTTTGCTGGGTGTATACCCTTGAAAAAGCAAACCCACAACTGTGAACGTAGCATGCAATAAAGGCAGTAAAGCAATTCAGCCCTCATCTCCAAGACAATTTTCTGTTCTTTCTCTGCGTATGCATTTATCCATTTGGGTAAATTAATTATAATAAATATTTTTGTTTCAAAGAGCCAAGAAAACATTTGGGCTTTGCTGAAACATAAATATATACTTTTATGTTTATATTTATTAAATATTTTTATAATAAATTAATTATAATAAATATTTTTGTTTCAATTGTTATTTCTTTTATTATAACTAACCTTCACGCACACGCTCACGCGCGTGCAAAAGGCCTTTTTTTTAAATCATAGCGTGCCATATGCGACTTACACGTTTTAAATGTATTTATATATGTAAATTGACAAAAGGAAAATTAAATATTTGAAGTAAATGAATAATTTTCGATCATGACACACCCCAACCGAGATCAGGGCATGCTGGCCGGCACATGGAAGTGACGTAGCCATGTGCACAGTGCGGAAGCTAGAAACAGTAATATAAAAGTACGAATAATTTAAAACTAGCATACAAAATGTGACCATACGAGTGCTAGCGTAAGTGAGACGCTGAATTCAGAGCTTAAAGCCTACAGCAGTCCAAAAGAAACGATACAACAATAGTGCACCCGAAGGTGACCCTACATAGGTGAGTGTCTGTCAGAAATGCCGGGACGTCCTCGGGGAAAACCACCGAACCCGCTAAGCTACTAGAACCTGGAGGGGCGCAAAACAAAAGCGTGAGTGGGCAAAAACAAATTCTTTGAAAACCATTTCATAAAATACATTCTAACCCCTCGTCGTAAAACCTGTATACTTCCCAGAAAATAACCATATACACGTATGTATAAATATGCCAATCATGCTTGCTAATATGCCATGTCAAACCTCATAATGAAATGCAGGTGCTCAGGTATAAATCACATCAATATCGTGACATCTGACAGCCGGAGTCCCCTAAGTGACCTGTACGGCTGACTCTAGAGCTCAAATCTCAGTTTCCATAACTAAACCTGCCCACGAGTCGGAACCACCTAAAGTGGTCTGTACGACAGGCCTGGGTGTAAAACATATAAACGCTCTAGTGCTACGATCACGTGAAGACTGTGCGAATAATCGCGGGTCACCTACGAGTCGGAACCACCTGTAGTGGTCTGTATGACAGGACTGTGCACCTAACTTGGATTCAACCTGAGCGTGTGGTGCGGGAGGTGAACAACACGTGAAGGACTGTGCCCTACTCTGGGCGGGAGCACTAACACCGGGGTGCAGGTTATGAGCTCGCTAAGCATCTCTAACCACTATTTAATGCAATCGTTAAATAACGCTTACCTGGCACTTACCTATGCCTCCACAGCACCAACATATATATATATGACATATGCATAATTGAATATATAATTAAACGTATATGCCACTAATCATGCATAACCACCAATTATATAAAAGGAATGGCATATAACGAAGCATTTATACTAACTTCTGGGAATTAATATGTATATAGGTATATACGGAAAACAAAAGCCCACTCACTGGTATGTGGAAGGGTCGTAGCCCCACTGCCTCGAGTGTGCACGCTCGTCCTCGGGATACGTGTCACCTATATGCAAATTAACTATAAAAACGTTAACTTTAAAGCACATAACCGTCCGTTCAAAATAACTTATTGCTCAAAATGGACAAATGAATATACCAACGTGATCTACACAACCTCAGGATCACAACCATATTTTTAAAATAATTTTTGGACCTCTCACGCGCCCCCACGCGCCAAAATAGGCACCGACCCACGCGCCCCCATACGCGGCCACGTGCCATGCACACTGACGGTGTCAAGTGACGCCGTCAGGAATATTCCGTTAAACCAACGGAATATTCCGTTAAACCTAAACTGACGCCGTCACTGCCGTTAGGAATATTCCGTTAAACTTAACGGAATATTCCTGTTTCTTCTCCGATCAGTCTCCGTCATCGGCGCCGTCGCCTGAAAACCTGCAAATCGCGATATCTCACTCGTTTTTCCACCTTTTTTCACGTTTCTTGCACCAAAATCAACCTTAGAACTAGTAGAACACGATCCTACAAGTTTTAAGGCCTAAAACTACAAGATTATACCTGTCCAAATCTCCAAAACTCGGCCAACTTCGAACCAAGCTTTCCCGACGTCCAAATTTGTCCAACGAAGCACTCCCAAGCTCCTGGGAACCTCACAAATACAACTACAAGCTTCAAAATTCCAAAAACAAGCTAGAATAAATTTGCATGAACAGTGTTCAAAACGGAGCTTACGAGATCGACGTGAAAACGACTGGTTTCTCACCTGAAAATGGCACCACTAGACTCCTCTCAGCCTCACCAGCACGATGGTGTACTTGGTTCCCTCGATCTGCAAAGATTTGGTGGGTTTTGGGTTTGGTCCGTACGTATATGGTGAAAAAGAAGGGGAAATGGAGCACGGGAAGGAGAGAGAGACAGGGAATGACAGTTAGAGGGATAGGGATAGGGTGTATGTCTGTGTGTGGTCCAACTCTGGCCAACACCACACAAAACAACCAAAAACATAACAAAAACAAACTAGGGGTAAAATGGTAATTTCACACGTACGTTTCTGATAATTCCAGGACGGGATGTCACAGATCATGTTAGAACAAACCCCTCATAAACCAATTAAAGTCGCTAAATTATCATAATAAAATCGGTTTCTATAAAATTTACATTAGGAATAGAGAAAATGATATTTAATAAACAATTGATTGAATTACATTATTGTTACCCAATTGTAAGGCTAAGTGCACTCCATCTCCCTTAGTATAGATCATATTATTTGTTACAAAAAAAAATCAGCTGACATTAATTATCCACGTGCGAAAGACTTTAAAAAAAAAAAAAGGATCATTGGACAACTAATTGAATCGCATTATACATGTGCAAGAAACTTTTTTATAACCGGCACTATGCACCTCTTAATTAAAGATTGAGAAATAATATTTAATAAACAATTGTGTGTAAAATGCATTTTTTGAATCACAACACGCTACCCGTGATTTATACATTTTAAATGTTTTTTTCATTTGTTTATTTTTTTTCTTTCTTCCCCTTCATTTTTTTTTATTCTTTTATCTCTTCCCA